CAAAAATTTAGAATTATCGACTATCAACTTCAACCATCTCCAAACACTACTTGGACATTGTCGCCCACTTTTTAGCTATTATCACTTGCTTCTCTACCGCCTTCACTAGAGCATTCTAAGCTTCTGTATTCCGTAGATAGCATCCCACTTCTCCTTTGCTCGTATGGAAATGGGAGGCCTCCAAGAAAATTAAGTAGCAGTGATTGGCCATCTGGTAGAGAACCTGACGGTCAAGTGCTCTGAGTACCTTCTTGTAAATGCTAGACCATATAACCTCGGTGATGACCGAAGGATAGCCCGTAACTGCAAAAGTGTTGGGATAACACTTCCTCTTTGTATTGATCATGGCATACCAATTGTTGAAGTTGGTCCACATCTTTAGCTCTTCATCTTATGTAGTAACACAATTGAGCGGGGAATCCTTCCGCTTCTTCTTCGGTGAGGTACCTCCTCTTTGTGAGATGCTGACCCAAGTTCGTGGTTAGACTTAGACCCATTCTCAATCAAAGTGATATGAGGCAATAGAATAGCCTCACTCTTTTATTTGTAAACCAATTAAGGATGGATAGTTCTAACAAGGGATAGCTAGCCCCATCTCTACTCTTTGCACTGAAGAGTCCCCCTTGACACTGCTCAATGACAGCATGCTCTACGTTCTGGCAAATTCATTACGATGTCAACTTGGTAAAGAATGTTTAGCTTTTATATCAACAATGATGATTTCACGGTGGAAATTTTTTGAACAATATGAGTAGTTTGGGATACAGAAATAACAATTTTCACACCTTTCATATTAGCCCCGGTGAGAATAATCCTGGATATTGGTTGACATGTAACCACTATGGCATTAAGGCTGGTAGCCTTTATTTTTGGTCTCTTTTCAGTGACCCAAGAAGTAATAGCCTTTTCTTGTACAACTTCCTAGGCATATGAGACCGCCCAGAGCTCCTCTTTCATCAACCCAAACTTCTCCGACCGCAATACCCAATTAAGAATCCACGGTTCAACATACTTGAAGGTCGACTGCTCATGACCCTAAATTCTTGCTCATATGCCTTGAGATGACCATGCAGAAACTTTACCTTCTTAAATACACCTCCCATTGAGAGAGCTTGGATTCCCTAGCCACCATAAGATGAGCTGACAAGGAAGCGCATTTCCAATCCTTAACTTTGTTTGCCAACCCCAAAAGTTGGAACCTGTAGCTGTACAAAAGTTGGACATAACCATTCCTACCAACCTGGAATATGAAAATGTGAGTGAAGAAGTATGTCGACCATGGGATCTCCTTCTAGTAACAAGAGATCACATTGGTCATTATGGCGTTTGGCAGGACTTGAGCAGAAATCACCCCTTAGCGATTGAAAATTTCAGAAGTTCTTGGCATAGGGGCAGCTGCAAAACATACTTGAATTGGTCCCGATAGAATACGAGATCATCCTCAAACCTGTTTCTCGCTCAGTCATACCCCTCTATCATTGGAGTTGCATGACCATATCTTAAACACAAATTTCTTGAAGAAGGTCCATCTATTATGAAGTCATGGTGGATCTCTCACTCGCCGGTATTGACCTAAAGAGCTGCAAAGAAAACTTTGGAGCCATTTGAAAGAAGAAACTTAGAAGAGCAAAAGGAGGTCAAGGAAAATAAGAAGGAATCTTCACACAAGGAAAAAACCCCTCACTCTTACTCATAGGGTGAAGGTAGAAGTTGAATCATCTCAGGGGCAAGAGCATAACAATTTCAAAACTGCACTGATAGAAAAGTCACATCAACACACAATTTGAGACAGAAAATTAAATTTTATTCTGAATTTTAAAAATTACAAGTGTTGCTTGGAAGTAACTCCGAGATGAAATACTTTACAAGAGTGTCACTTGTCACTTCTGCCGAGACATACCATTGCTAAAGCAGCCTTTTATACAATTCATCTCCCTCTAACTTAGATTAGTCTACCCGATCAATCTCTACTTGAAGTCGAGCCATAGAAGAATTCTTCCAAACGGCTAGCAACTTCATGAGAAGTGCAACCGTTTCCTCGTAATGGAGAGTGGCCATCTCTCCTTCCCTCCTATCCACCTTCTCAAGACAAGCTAATAGATTGCTCATCTCCTCACCATAAGTGATCTTAGTCACCCAGGCGAAGGAGTCCTCCATTGCATGCAAACATTGTGCCAACAACCTAAGGGACCTCTGGCGTTCATCAATTACTTCCTCGTGGGTGGTGATCCCCACCCATTTCACTTGGGTGTTGACTGTCTCCAACTGGTCCTTAATACAAACTTGTTGACATCGCAATCAGATCTGCATTAATGTATGTCGAAAACGAATCGACGGCCGTAATCTTCGTAACCATGTGGGTTGCACCAAGGGGCAATATAAAGAAGAAGAACTTCATTGAAAAATATAAATCAGATAAACAAGCCTGAAAACTCCTCATACCAAGGATTTATTCCCACTTAGATTTTGTAAATGAAACCTCACCATTACCAACTTTTTTCTTGTGCCCCAGACGACCGCATAGCACCAACATTTCCTTACGCCACGAGCACCAACAGCTTCCTCTGCGATTTAATAGGTCGACAGAATTTGAGTCTCAATACAAGGTAGAACTGATATATCAATAGGTAGATCACCCGATCAGACTACAACATCCGCTCGAGTGATTTTTTGTTAACGGTCGTGAAGCGAGTCGAGCAATTCTACATTATCCTTAAGATCAAGCATGTTTTCTTCTTTGCAATGACCTTCTTCCTCCTCTTCTCACCCTCTGGATAAGACCGAGCTTTCATCTCCCAAAAAGCTTTATGATACGCTGCCTTGTCTAAGAGATTCGACCCTAAAGTTGGTTTGTTCATCATGGTGGCTCATGGAATTCAATCAATCTAGACAAGGAGAAGATGAAAAAAAGATGATGAGAAGTGGTCCTTCACTCCATATTTATAGGAACAAAGGGCACAAAAATTCAGGAAGTTCAATTATTAAATCATTGAATAGTCATAAATGAGATTTAATTTTTACATTGAATTCTCTTGTTCTTATCGCAACGTGACGTTCAAGAAGTAAGAGAATTGAGATACTAAATATGTAAACAAAAAAGTGACAGCATAAATCTTAAGGAGATCTAAAAATCTAGATGGGAAAATGCATATCAAAGGAAGGTCCACTGGATGTATCTAGTCCAAGGCCAACTAGGCAACTGAATGACTCGAAGCCCAGCGATTCGACAAGAAGTAAGGCCCATGAGAATCAAAATTGTTCACCATGATGAAACCAATCTAATGGAGCTAACCTCTTGAGTTCCGTAGTTATACCAGAGACTTCCAACAATATCCCTTAATATCATCAAGAATCGATAGGACAACAAATCTTAGACATCCCTCAGGATCTCTTCATTTAAGGGTTATTAACTATCAAATTAAGATGATTCAACCTCGGTTCGATATCGTAGTTTCACCTTTTCGATAGAAGTTCCTCATCAGGGATTGAGGGTTGACGGTCTTACCCAACCAACTAATCGATAAAATTTAATCGACCGGTTCAATCTTGTCAACCCCTTGTCCTTAAGAGATCAATCAACCAACAACGTCTATCAAACCTAGCTGACTTATCAAGTCTATCATAACCTTATTAGCCTAGTCAACTAGCAACATCTACCAAGTCTAGCCAACTGACAGTACTTACCAAGTCTCTGGTAGTCCAATCAGCCAAGCCAGAGGACAACCAAGTTCTGGGCTCACATACATAAAGTACCAAGAATAACTTGTGCAGCCCCCAACTAAAATAATGTCATAAATAAAATTCATATAGTGTACCCCCCTTCTCCATAAATAGGGGATCACTCTAGTGTGTGATCTTACTCTCTCTCCCGTCCTACACTATTTCTTGGATGTGATTCGTGGACAAACAAAATTCAACAATAAGAATTAAGTGGTAAGTATGTAAATGCCCTTGATTTTAATCAGAACACTTACTTTTTTTCTCCATTAAGATTATTGTTTTAGAAGAGTGACAACAATATTCATTGTTAGATAGGGTGTTTGGCTTATTTGAAGTACTCAGTAAATAATCCATCTTTGCTATAACAAATAACAACTAAATGTTAGTGTGTTATAATGGCAAAGTAGAATAAGGCAAAAATATTCACAGGCACAAGATAATTATGGTCTAATTCCATTACAAATGATTTAAAACTTATATATGTAGACATTAAATTGTTAACCTTTACTTCAGCTTAAATTGCCCGGCCTCGGAGATAAAAAAATATTTAGGAGTTGTTGGTTTTCCTAATTAGTGATTTATTTTAAATGAAATGAAAATTTTTGGTATTTATTTGGAATAAAAGCAGAATGTGCTCTAAAATATTAGTGCATTTAGAATTCATCATGCAATTCAACATTGTTATATTTCGAATTCGCTAGAACTACCACTGCATCCCACCGGTTAGCCAACAGCCCACTACCACCGCATCCCCTGCTGCCCACTCAACAGCCCATATTGTTTGCTATCGTAAACAGACGAATCCGGATGCCAAGGGATGGCCGTGATACAGCGGAGGTCGGGACTAAACGACAGACATAATGATCTCTCCAAGAAAGAGGAGACACACGTACACGTGTACACACATAACACTAATTTATTTATATATATACACAGATTCTCCCTAAAGAGGGTATTCATGTAATTCAAACACCCGTAAGGGATCTATTAAACACCCACTACATATCGAATTTCTAATATTAGCTCGAAAACCACCCATTATAATATATATTTAATATATAATACCTCATATCTACACAACATATCTCAGCTTATTACTTCCTATCCAAAATAATAATATAGTCTAGCAATAATAAAGCAATCATAAACTCGATGGTCACTAAAAATAAGAGAACCCACTTGAACAAATATTGAATTCTTCGGCAAGAACAATTAGAACGCAGTTGCTCTATTGGTTTATATCCAATGTAAATCTAGCCTTCTAAAAAAGAAAAAACTGATAAGGCCACAACGAATTCATCATAAATGACTAGAATCAATCCAAGTGAATTAAAAAATATTAGAGAAGAAAGCTGAAAAGTATTCTAGCAGTTGTCAAGCAACAAATTTCAAACATCGCGTATCATTGTGTATAACCTGACAACGGGAAGAACAAAATCTGACTCCACACCTCACGCAAGTGTAGTTTCCTATAAATCCACAAACCGAGCAGAAATAACGACGACTGCTGGAGGTCGGAGGACCCACTGCAGCTCTCCAGTAAGTCGGAACACGTGGGGGTAAGGACTCCAGATTCGCCTTTTAGAGGAGAAAAACAAAAGAAGCGTCAGTTATGGCTACAAGGAAAACACGTTTTAAAACACGGGTGATTCGTTAAGCAAGCGAGCTGCACATAAATAATTTTTTGAGCTCAACTTACAAAGAAGCCGAACACAAACAGAACTTTGATCGATCTGTCATAGTTTGGCTTTAGCTCTAATTCATTAAATAAAATTTATATATATACCACTGAATTCTTATGTATAACTTCAATTTTTACTTACATAGCACCTTCACTATGCATGAACAGGTGTATTTCACTTTTTCAAAGTTAAAATCTGGTATTTTTTGTTATTTGAAAGGTTTAGTTGGCATAAATGTAAAATTTAAAGATCTGGTGTTAGATATGTAAATATATAAGAATTAAGTGGTATGCATGCAAATGTCTGTAATTTTTATGTTGCATCAAATGTATTAATTTTTATGTTGCATTTAAAAAATTCTATAATTGATTGTTTTTAAATCATTAAAGCTAAATAAGAGCACGGCACGATCGCAAAAGAACAAACGAAATTGAATCAAATTGAAAACAAACATGTCATTCACAAACCATCTTGAAAACAAGTCGATTTCAAACAAACACATTTTCAGGCAAGCCAAATCCGAATAAGCATTAGGAAGCATTAGGCTTGCTGTTTGTATATACAGACTAACCTGTGAAAATTTTCTCACCTCATGTATTATCTCCAAAAATGTCCTAGGAGCCCTCCTTGCGTTCTCCAGTGCTTTTGCCTGTCTGGTTTTCCTCTTGGTACCCTTCTGTTTCTTCTGTACATAAATTACTACAATCATACCAGCAAAACATTAGGTGCATTCTTTGTTATAGTTGGCAGGATAACATGTAATTCAAATTAAATTTGGAATGCAGCAATGATTTTTCAGTAATATGAACTTCCTTTCTAGTTAGTCGAGTACATGCTGCTCATGTTGAGTAATTAGCAAGGGCTTGTCTTGCAAAATTTAGATTTTGTAGTCACTTTGTATAGAAAACGGCAGAGTTTTCAAAATGAGAATATTAGGATATTATTTATAGATTTTTTGAGAAAATAACAATTTAGGCTGATAAGATCCAGCCAGTGTTTAGCTAAGCTTCTGTGATTTGCTGAGGTTTCTAATTGTTGGGGAGAAATTTTGGAGGGCATAGGAAAAGATGGAGTGTGGACCACATCATTAAATAATTGGAGCAAAGCATCCCTGCCACTTAAACGCTAACCGGCCTGCGTAACAAGGCAAAACTCCTCTCATACAAGGCACACTGTTTTTTTTTTTATTTATTTTTATTATTTTTATTTTTATTATTTTTATTTTTTTTTGACATTGGTACGAATAAATTGGAATAGCTGTTTGGTTGGAAGAGTATATATATAGAGTTAAATGTAGAACAGAACAAGAATTTTTTGGAGGCATTACGTTTAAAACTGAGTTGAAGTTATGGATATCCTTCGTAAAATAAAATGTATTATCATTAATGAAAATAATAAAGAGAAAAAAAAAAAGGACAGCAAGAAACAACAGTAAAGCGTTAAACACAACTAAAAATAAAATACATAGAAAAGGAAAAAGTTCAGGGCCCAATTAAAATTAACTAACTTGTAGATTAGTATATTTTAGAGAGTACAGGGAAGGTTTTTTTTTTTGTAATTTATTTCTTCCCCTCCTATCATATAGAAATTGAAAATTTTTAGCTCCTCTTTCGTAGGAATGCTAACACAGAGACAACAGAAAGAGAAACGAGGTAGCCCATATCTCTAGCAATAAGAAGACAATCAAGCTCATCTCTTCTATTATAACTAAAGTACGCTATGAAAGACAGCAGAGATATTTCAAATATGATAGGCATAGCTCCTCTTTTTTCTAAGCTTTTCCATAAAGCTCAAAAGCAACAGCTATTGTAGGTACTTGAACTGATAAGATACGATGTTGTGCTTATCACATCTGCCCAAAATATTTTTAATAATCCTCATGAAATCTCGAATGCCTACCTTTCTCATTCAAACTAATGCTCATTCTTTTAGCAATTTGATTATATTGGACAGTTTCTAAAATTATTGTCTCCATATGAATTCCATCACTAGTAGTTATTTTTTAGATCAATGTCACATACTCTCTAATTATGTAGAATCATACTTTTTCTTAAAAAATTTATACCAATCTTATTTTTAACTAAGCTTTTCCATCTTACAATGGAAGCAACACTTCACTTGTCTAAAATAAATAACTCGTCTTTTTGACGCATATGTTTATAAAGGAGACATAGTAAATTGGGCCCGAGGCATGTGATGAAAGATGGCTCATACTCATTTGTTTGAACTAATCCAAACCTCTTAGCTCTAGGTTTACGACTAAATACATTCAATCTTTCGTTGCTGTCCTAGAATGCAATCTTAACGAGATTTAGATAAAATAGATCTCAAATATGAGAATTTAACTTTAGGGTACGAATAATTTTTATGCCCTTGTCACTCCTATGGCCCAATCTTCTGGTTGAAATATCCTTCTTTGTACTCAAAATGTGTTGGAACTTCCACTATCGTATCCTATGGGGGTGTAGACTGCATTGTCAAAGTTTTGAGAAAAATAGACTGAATTCTGAATAGGCTCAATTCCCTTTCCCCTTAGTATTCATTCCATCAAATAATACTCTTACAATCTATTTAGATACAAAATAAAGTGCATAATCTATTTTTGGTAACTTAATAATGCATATTCCTAATCTAAATATTCAGCTAAAAAGAAATAAATCAAAATAAAGATATTGGAAATAAGAAAATTTCTAACTAATAAAAACTCCTAATTTAGCTGTCCGATTTCCGTCCTTCTTAATTGACATCCCCTCTCAAATTGATGCTGGCTGATCAGGAAGCATCAATTTGCCAACAAGAAACTGATAACACTATCGGGACAATCGGGACAAAAAATAAAATCCCCAAGCCTCAGAGTGTCGAAACCTCAGAGTGTCGAAGCCCAAGAGTGTCGAAGAAAAAAGTTTTGTCGAAGCCTAAAAATGTAGAAGCTTGAGAGTGTCGAAGCCTCAGAGTGCCGAAGCCTGAAATGTCGAAGCTCAAGAGTGTCGAAGCCCAAGAGTGTCGAAGCTCAAAAGTGTCGAAGCCCCAAAGTGCTAAAGCCCGAGAGGCCGAAGCCTGAGAGTGTTGAAGCCTGAGAGTGCCGAAGCACGAGAGGCTGAAGTCTAAGAGTGTCGAAGCCCAAAAGGCTAAAGCCTGAGAGTGTCGAAGCCTGAGAGGCCGAAGCGGACTCACTTGGGTGAAGAGGTTGACATTTTCAGGTCTTTTGCGGAGATCAGGGTGAGATCTAGCATGTGGTATGCTATCTTCCTTCCTCCCTTCTCGTCCCTCAAGAAGGCCAACGGGAAGGGAGTCTTTGATAGTCCTCCAAATGATTATCGGTGATTAGGGCAATTTGGCTCTGATACCATATCAAAGTTTTGAGAAAAATAGACTAAATTTTGAATATGTTCAATTCTCTTTCCCCTTTGCTTTCATTCCATTAAATAATATTCTTACAATCTATTTTAGGTACAAAATAAAGTGCATAATCTATTTTTGGTAACTTAGTAACACATATTCCTAATCTAAATATTTAACTAAAAGGGAAATAAATCAGAATAAAGATATTGGAAAGAAGAAAGCTTCTAATTATAGAAAACTCCTAATTTAACTGTCTGGCTTCTGTCCTTCCTGATTGACATGCATCAATCACAATTATCTGAAAAATAATTAGGGCTCATTTAATCACCTTTCAAATATAAATATTCAACGCGGTATTGCATCATTTCGTTATAATTTATCCACTAGAAATTTGGTTTTCTCTTAGGACAAAAATATGTTTAATCTTACTAAGCCTCCATGTGAATTTGTTCATGATTTGGAGTACCATGCCACCAATGCCCCCAAGATCGAGGGCTTATCAAATAAAAAATAGCTTACCATTATTACCTGTAGATTAATCTGTTATTTGTTAACTATGATAAGAATAGAAAAATACAACCAAATCTAATATTCATAATTCCATAAGATGATCAATATTGAGAATAAGGATCTCTTTGGGGCAGCTATTGATTATTTATAAGCAGATTATTCTGATAATCTGATAATCTACAGATTATCAGAATAAGCTGGTTTACTGTTTGTGGCGGCTTATTCAGAATAGCTTATTGGTAGTCATGGTTGTATAAATTACCTTCATACCCCTGTCTGGTAAAACTGTTTGGGACAGCTTATTCAGAATAGTTTATTGATAGTAAAGAAGCATATAGTGCAGAAACATAAAATCGTCACAGATCAGTTCGAAAAGATGATAAACAATTCTCACACTATCGTGAATATCAAAAAAAATAAAAAAAGGATAAAGACGAGTATAAGTACAATGAGAAATATTAAAATATTTAATTTCAAACTCTGACTACGTCTGTTTTTAGCTGCACTATCAACCTGGGAAAACATCAGATTCCCATCACTGCTAGCAGTATAACATGTGGGACTGTCGGCCCATCGGAAGAAATCGCAACGAGCTAAAACACCCTTGCGACAACCGAAGAACGGTCTCCCACTGCTATGAGGCTGACGCGACGTGTGTAATGAAGCCGATAGTCCACAGTAACACAAAACAACTCTGTCTATCACTGAAATTCTAGAAGTCATGTTCGTATAACTGCGAAAACAAAAACAAAAAAAATGAATGTTAGATCTTATCCCAAAAAAAATACACATCAAAATGAATCTATAATGTACGAAGGAAAGAAAGACTTGTTGAATTAGTTGTCATATATAACAACTGTTATAGACTCCCTCAGAGCAGTCATCTCAGCCACACCATCCGCGTTATGAACTTCAAATTCATTAAAGTCATTCTCATGCTCAGGTACTGAAGGCCCGATCATAATTTTTTATGGTTCTTCATAGACATTCAGCTCATCGTTATCAGCCATATTGAACTCCGTATCTGAACCTGAAGGATGTCGTCGGATGAAGTTATGAAGTGTCATTGTTGTCTCCACAATATGCACTTGCTTTTGAAATGGATATGACGGCATATCACGTAGGATGACTTATTTATTCTTCCAAACCCCAAACGTTCTTTCAATTACCCAACGTAAAGAGGAACGACGTTTGTTAAACATTTCTTTCCTATCACGAATAGTGTCACTTGCTCACTCAAAATCAGGAATATGGTACCTAGTGTCTAGATATGGCTTCAGATAGCTTCTCTGCATAGGTCATCCAGCATCAACCAAATAATATTTTCTTGTTATAGAAGACATTGTTATTTGTAATAAATACCTAGAACTAGGAATTTTGTAAATCAAAACATACCTGAAGGCTGATGAGGAAAACCCTGCGATCTATTCCTAGTAGCATAGGAAAAAATCTGACTGTCATGTGCACTCCCTTCCCAGCCCGCAATAGCATATGTGAAACGCATTTTGAATTCGCATATCGTCATGACATTTTGAGTAGTTGAACCACTTTGACCAATGTAAGTCACCTTGTCCTGGCTGGGTAGTCGGGCATCAATATGAGTACTGTCAATTGCACCTATGCAGTTCTGTTTTATAGGGTTAGTAAATATTTATATTTTGGTATATACGTAAAAAAATAATAGTTACCTTGAAGTAAGACATGTAACGGAGATCGGTTACGATTTGTCCTAGAGTATTAGCAAATGATGGATCATCTGGCCTGATGATTTTACGGCTAAGCTAACAAGTGTTTTTATGCCTTTGGAGAAATAAAGGTTTATTGTCTCCAATGAATGTTGAAATCTC